ATCAAGAGAGATTATGTAAATGTTAAAATTTCCAATGATAAATGTCATTATATTGACATTATATACCTAAAATGTACCAATAAAAGAATATACAGTTAAAAAAATAAATAAAATGGCAGACTTGTTAAAGAAAAATGAGGGCCAGGGACAGATACAAAGGAGAAAAGTGGAGGAGGGCCAAGGAGGGAGAACTCACATCTGTCTGAGAAGAGAAAGGAGAGCAACTGAAGATAATTGGGCTTTAAGTAGATAGCCTGAGTCTTCTGTCTTTTCATCTTCCAAAAAACCCCAGAAGACAACAGCAGGCAGCCCAGTTGTGCCTGCTGAACCACCAGGCCCACTTCTTTCTTGACACCATCTACAACTGCTGCTGCCATCTGTTCTGGAATGCTGCCACTCTTCCCTTTGTAAGTTGTCAAGCAGAAGGGGGATGTGCCCCAAACTCTCCAAGCCCACTCGCCCCCAACAGTCATTTCCCCAACTGCAGTTAAGCTGTGACCCTGAATTCACATTTGACCCGGAACTGGGCCGGGGATTTAGCTCAGTGGTTCCGCCACCTGCCTCAAAAGCATAAGGTCCTGAGTTTGATCCCCGGTACCAAACAAAAAACAAAAAAAAAAAACCAAACAAACATTTGACCCAGAACCAGTTGGCATCCTTTGATGTTTTTTAAAAGCCAGAGAAGGAAATATTATATGATGTTCTAGCAGCTTCCTCTCTCCAGTTCACTGGCCAAATCTTTCAATAAAGGATGTGCCTCACCCTCCTTAGACCTGCCTATTTGTATGCGAAGGAGGGAAAAGAAAAACTAGCACTGCCTGCTTGGATGGAGGCTTTTGCAGTACTTCCAGAGCCACTGCATTGGGAGATGAGTTGATAAAGTTCCCCGAAGGAGAAAAAAAAACATAAAGGAGGTGAACGAAGAACTCATCACAGTGCATCCTTCCACTGGAGTCTTAGTTGACTTCTGGTGCCTTCAATCTTCTTGAGTGGAAGAAAGGCCAATGTGCCAAGGAATGCAGAGAATAAGTTTCGGGTCTCACTCAGCCAGACCCAGAAGCTTCCCCCAGTTAGAGGAGGCTGAGCACCTCAGGCCCTAGTCCTCAGAAAGCCTCAAGGCAGCCATGGGAGGTTTCTGCTTGCAACCTGCAGGCTGCTGATCTGACTTCAGGAGTCATTTCTTTGTTCTATGGCTGTGATCATCACATAAGCTTCTGGGCCTCAGCTTACTCACCCACAAAGTGGGATTGCAAGGCTGTAAAGTTTCCAGAACACAACAGGCCTTCCCCACTAGATACATGCAGAGATTCCATGCATGGCCTCTGACAAGTTATGCCTTTCAGTTGTTTTTGCCAGGTGTGGTGGTATATGCCTGAAACTAGCTACTCAACAGGCTGAGGCAGGAGGATCACAAATTCAAGGCCAGTCTTGAAAATTAGCAAATTAAAATACAAAAAAGAGCCAGGGGTATAACTCAGTGACAGAACCCTTGTCTAGCATGCATGCGGTCCTGAGCTCGCCATCCTCAGTACTGAAGAAAAAAACGTTGTGTTCTTCCATACAGAGTAGGAGTGCTATTGGGGAAATTTGTAAGTTACCCACAAGATTACACAATGCCTTACCGTAAGCTATTTTATGCCTTCTGTCAGGGAGATCTTGAGTCGGTGTGAGCTATGGCACCAAATGCAGTGGTCAGTTTCTATGCTTGCAAACAGGCAATACTGCAGGCAATGATAAATTCACCCAAAAAACAATTAAGGAGTATCAGTTTAGAAACTGGAGGATGTAGAGGGGAAAGAATCACACAAGTCATAAAGTGCATACAATTACAAGCTGGGTACTACGTGCAGATGCTAAAAGATCTTGGCTGTACTACTGCGCATCCTTGGGCTCTTTGCCTCAAGGCCAGTCATCTAAGAGAGGTTGAGTATTACACTGGTTGGTAACAATACAAAGCTCTTAGAATACTAACCGCCATGTAGAAAGTGACTGCTAGCAATTGTAGGACTTTCTTGTTCACTGACTGTCCAGTCCCCACCCCCCTTTTTTTATGGTACCGGGGATTGAACTCGGGACCTTGCACTTGCAAAGCAGGCAGTGGAACCACTGAGCTAAATCCCCAGCCCATTCCCCTTATTCCTCTGCCTCCCTTGCAGTTAGGTTGGGTCCAGTGACCCACATTGGTCAATGGGCTAAGAACAAGTGTCATGTGTCATTTCAGGCCTGAAGCAGAGTTGGTGGGTGTTCACCAGCCTTTTCTTCCTGTATCTGCAGTCATGAAAAGTGTGTGCTGAGATGGCAGAGCCACAAACTGGAAGCAGTCTGAACCACCAAGTCGCCACACAGAGAACAGCTGTACTGAAATCACCCAACTTGGCCCAAACTTTGCAAGAAATAAACCTTTATTTCAGAAACAGGAAACATTTGTTGAGGACTTAGAATGTTCCAGGCACCATATGTAGTGCTTTATTTTTAATAATTCTTTTCTTGTTGCTGTAAGAACAGTAGTTCTAATCTAGGGATAGTTTGGGAACCTGAAGGACATAACACAACATCTGTTGACGTTTTTAGTTGTCATAAGTGAAAGATTCTTACTGCCATCTAGTAAGAAGAGATCAGGGACACTGCTTGGTGGTGGTGTAATGCAATGTACCAAAACGAATACCCTCTTGAGGTCCAAGATCTTCTCAGAGGCCACCATTACATTTCTTCTACTTCCAGTCACACTCCGCATTAAATGTAAGCATGTGCATCTCCCTCCTATCCTTTTATGCTCAAATGGGAATAAACTACACACCATTCTGCATTGAGTTTATTTTCTCAAAGAACCTATACCTGCCTCATTTGTCTCTGGTGGTCTTAGCCTCAAACACCCTGAGTCTCAGGGTAGACTCTGATGGGAGTCCTTTCTCTTAAGTTTCCCCAGCCCCACCCCAAGACCCAGACAATGCAGGGGAGACCTGAGCACCTACCAACTCCCCAGAACAATCAGGACTGAGAACTACAGGGAACCCATCAACTATGCCCTGTCAAGGCCCCCGGCCCACTCTGGGATCTCTTTCCAAAACATTCTCATCCTATTCCTTTCCCCACCAGCATTTAAACATGTTATCATCTGCCCCATCAACCACTACTCACATCTCTCCGCAGCACTTTTTCTCCACTCAACTTATACTGAAATCATTTAGGTCCCTCTCCATGTCACTAAGCTCTTTGTTTTTCAGATCTTACCTTGTCCTCCCAAGAGACTTTGACCACCTACCTTCTGAAATACTAGCTTCAGCAAGCTACTTGGCTCAGACAAGCAGTCACATGCGCACAACCCTAGGTTAAAAATATACTGGCTGAGAGGCCTGGGATTTGGCTCAGTGGTTTTGCTGCCTGCTGCACAAGCGCAAGGACCCGAGTTTGATCCCCGGTACCAAAAAAAATACTAGCTGGGTACAATGCCACATGACTATAATCCCAGCTACTCAGGAAGCTGAGGCAGGAGAATCACAAGAGGGCCAGCCTGGACCAATTTAGCAAGTCCCATCTAAAATGACAAATTTTAAGGTTAGGATGTGGCTCTGTGGCAGAGTGCCCGGCTGGCATTACAAGGTCCCGGGTTCCATTCTCAGTATAAGTTTTTTAAAAAAGCTGCTCTAAACCAGTGAAGATGTTTCTTCATGTTCCTCTAGTTTGGGAAATTTGTATACGCAGTAGGTGGTGAGATACTAGTAACATTTATCAATACTAAAAGCAAATCCTGAACAAAACAGTAGTTTGAGACAGGCGAGGATGGAGATGTTCACTAGGCATCCAGGCAGGGTGGCACAGCCTGTAATAGCAGCATTCTGGGAGACTGAGGCAGAAGGATCAAAAGTTTGAGCCCAGCCTGGGCAACTTAGTGACTTAATGAGACTCTGTCTCAAAATAAGGGCTGGGATGTAACTCCGTGCTATGGCTCTGGGTTCAATCCCCAGTTCAGGAAGAAAAATTTAAAACATCAAATAATCTGAGAGATGGGTTGGCAATATAAATTTGGATCTTTAGTACAGATGGTATTGAGCCGGGGATTTAGCTCAGTGGTTCTGGCGCCTGCTTCACAAGCACAAGTTCCTGAGTTCGATCCCCGGTACCAAAAAAAAAAAAAAAAAAAACAGTACAGATGGTATTAAAAGCTATGAAATGAAGGTGGTCTTACCAAGGAATGCAAATTAAGTCCAAATTAAGTGGAAAAGGCTGAGCGGAATCGAGGACAAGATTGAAGGAAAAAGCACACTCATGCCTAAAGGAAGTAAAGATAGTCTGAGGAAGGAGTGGTCAGCACGGTCACACAGCCCTGGAGGTCAAGTGGGCACAGAACTGGGTTTCTCCAACTGGACAGCACTCCTGAGCCGGACAAGAAGCTCCAGTGGAGTGGCAGGCCTGCAGTGTCAACAGTACAAGCCTTCCACTGTGAAAAGTAACAGGAAGTGAAACAGTAACCAGAGACAGAAGTGGCCCAAGATCGGACCATCCTGAGTCAATGTAATAGAGGGATTTTTTTAAAAAATGTGTATACTTGTTTCATACTGCTTCAGAACAAGCTAGGAAATCCCCTAATGTTCTTGTTCAATGGTTTTTCCCTACCAGAAATTATTTCTGCAGCCAAAGAAAGATTGTCAGCCTACAGAGAGGCACAGGGCATTAAAATCGGTAAGACTGAAGTGTGAAGATCCTACAGGTAGTTGAGCCACCACTCAGCCCTGCAGAAAGGAAACACACCCAGCAGCTTGTCCAAGGGCCCTCGCCACAAGGTGCTCTAGAGAAAGGCAACAGAGTCCCCCTGGTTGCGTGCTGTTTTTCAAAAACAATTCAAGTGAAATCACAAGCAATTTCCTTCCTCCTAAAATGCACACCTTGAACATTTTCTGATTATGTATGCAAATGTGACACGTAGTATTTCCTAAGTGAAATTCTGTAGAACATTTGGTCAAAGTATTCTTTGCATTATCAAAAAGAATGAACGAGAAAGGTGAAAATGCATGACAAAGTCTTTACTTTTACTAGTAAATGATTATCAATACACCAAATAATTAACAAGTTCTTAAGTCCTATCATCTAGTAAATTTTTTTGTTTTGTTTTGATTTGAGACAAGGTCTCACTAATAGTCCAAGCAGGCCTGGATCTAACTATGTAGCCCAGGCCAACCTCAAACTTGTGATCCTCCTGCTTCAGCCTCCCGAGTGCTGGGATTATAGGAGTGCACCACCACACCTGGCTCATCTAGTAATTTTGGTTAAAATAAACTAAGCGCAGCCCAAGCAAGTATACTAGTATTAGCTGTTCTAATCCTTCCTCAAAATATACTACTTTAAGGCTGGCTGCTGCATAATACAAGTTACAAATAACTATTTACTACTTTTTCATACATAAAGCCCCTGACCTTTAAGAAAGTGTAAGGGAAAAAAGTTATTTATAATCCCTTGCTTTCTTTAAAGAACTGTTTTTTCTTTTTCTTATTAAATCTAAGAATGAAAAAGTCAACACTGATATACATGGTGCTTCAGCTAAAAGGTATAAGAAAACAGACAACATATACTCATTAAATTTCTAAGAAATACAAGGTAAAAAGATGAAATCTTTGGATAAAGTACAAAGTTTGTCCAAAGAAGCTAGATATGCTACTCTCCAAAAAGTGAAGGGAACTATTTATTACACAACATAAGAAATAATTTAATGCATTTCTTAAGAACAGAAATCGACTTTGCTAAAGCTTCATATTCCATGAGAGCATCTACAATCCTAATCCACAGAACAGGTGTTTCCTTCTTCTATCCATTGATGCGGTAGTTTTCATGGATTTCTGGCCGGATGTCACAGACAAAGGCGAGGAGGTTATCCAGGACTTCTTCTCTGTTCTGCTGGAAGTAGGTCTGGAGGATGGCCATCTTCTCCTGGGTTTCCTTCTCCACTTCACTGCTGCAGCTGCCGTGCGATCCTAAGGCCTGCAGGTGAGAAGCAAAGGCACCGGGAATATCAGGAAGATGCTCCTGCTGGCCAGGAACAGTCAGCAATTTGCTGACTTTGGAGACCCCAGGTTCATCAGTGATAACCAATCATCAGCAGGCAACATCTCCTTGTTGACAGAAGCCCATGTGGGCAGAGAAGCACTCCCAGAGTTAGCAAGGGCCACATCCATCCAGAGGTAAAGTGCACAGTAGTGCCCCTGCTAGAAAACTATCCCTGAGACATATATCGCTCCAGAATGAAATGGCTAGCTTTAACCAAAGGTTGGGATCAATCTAACAATTAACAGCTACAGGCACAGTAGCACACACTTGCAACCCCAGGTGCTGGGGAGAATGAGGCAAGAGCTCATTTTGAACCTAGAAATCCAAAAAAATAAAATATTCAAAAACTGAGGACTGGTTAAACAAATTACAGAATCTCTTATACAGGAAGATATTCTTAGCCAGGCGCAGTAGAGCACAGCTCCAGTCCCAGCACTCTGGGAACCTGAGGCAGGAGGCTCACAAATTTGAGCCAGCCTGGGCAACTTACCTACTTAGCAAGAAAATCTTGCCTCAAAAATTAAAAAAAAAAAATTTTAAAGGGCTAGGGATGTATGTAGCCCAGTGCAAGATCTTGGGTTCAATTCCCAGTACCGTAAAAAAAAAAAATTAAAAAATGCTCAGCAACATAATATGAACTATAAAATATGCAGTTTAAGGGGGATAGAGAGCAAGATATAGAACAGTATTAGTGTGGTTAGTATTTATAATTTTGGTGTGAGTTTAAAAGTGAGAAGATACTGTATGTACTGTTTAAAAAAACCCATAAAACAAAAAAATCAAACACTTCTATTCCAGCACTCTGGGTGGCTGAGGAAGATTGTGAATTCAAACCCAACCTGGGAAATTTAGTGACCCTGCCTCAAAACGGAAAATTCTAAAACAGGATGAGGATGTAGGTCAATAGGAGGGTCCAGAGTGAAATCCCCTGTACTGTCCCCAAAATAAAAAAGTAAATCAAAATAGATACAATTTAATAGGAATATACAAGGAGCTCCATCATTAATGGTTGATATTTTAGCTCTTTTTAGTTCAACAGATTCACCAGTGTTATAAATATAAGGTTATCTGTTCCTTCAAATATACCCAGAAGAATACATAGAAAACAAACAGTGACTGGCTCTGAAGAGAACTGCAAGTCTAAGTGAGAGGGCAACTATTCCCTGATGCTCTTTTTCACTTGAACTTTTTACTGCACACACACCTGTACTATTCAGTTTCTATTCACAAATTAACACACACTGATTCATGGATTTCTTTTTACCTTCTATTGTCTTAGGTTTGGCTGGCTTTGGTTAACTGCCAAGGCCACCTTACTAAAACTTGACTAATCAAGTTCTGGAAGACATAACTTTTCATGTTTTTCACTGCCTAAACTGCTCATGCCTCATTTTATTAATATGAATACACACACTCATGTAAGTTAACATATTTTTGTATTTGGAAACATGTTTTCAAAGCAGTCTTGTGCATTACCTGTTCCTCCAGAGAGCTATGAGGCTGTCAGTCCACATTTCACAGATTAGAAACCAGATGAGCTCCAAGAGTGACGTGAACATGCAAAGACTCAAACTTGAGTCTTGAGTTCAAAGGTGAGAGGGTTCTTCACACTATACCTTCACTGTTTGGGACACAGGACTACCCTGGGCATTTCATGAGAGCTCAGCTGCTATCTCAAATTTTTAAGTTTACAACCCCAAAGAATGGGAGGAAATAGCCCCACTACCTCTGTTCTAGAAATACAAACTATACGCCAAGCCCCAGTAAGCTGTCTCAAAACTGAAGATGTTACCGAGGAACAGCGCTAGAAAACAAAACCTCAGTGTGTGTGCTTTACAGTCCAACACTGACACCATCTTCACTGGCAACTGCAACAGACAGGAAACGGCTGCCTTGACCCAAGAGTATTGGTGCGCAGTCTGACAACTTACAGTACCAACCGGTCCCGCAGAGAAACACTGTAAGTTTTAAAGGCTCTGTGATCCTGCAATGCAAAGATGATCAAAACATTTGCTACTCAATACTAGAAGGGAAGCATGTGCCAGCGGTCACTAGCACAGGGCCGGGGAGGGTGTGTGCCTGAAACTACTGCAGGACATAAAACCAAAGGCAGAGCCCAAGACAGATGAGTCCTGAGAGCATTATTTAAGCTTCGGATCAAGATAAACTTTTGTCTTTCACATAGGTTTTTAATTATATGAGCCAATAAATTACAACCTGCTTTGAACAGTGCTTCTCTTCCCTAGGAAGCCCCTCTCCTTTGTTGCCTCTTTCCGGAAGCTTCCCTGTACCCTCTGCATTCCTGAGATCTGTTTTCTGTACCATTATGGTGAACGGTGGCATCTACAATGGTGATGAACACCTCTCTGAACACTTAAGTGGGGCTCCGTCTTATGACATCACAGCACTTTTCAGTTGTGGGTGAGCACGACTTGCACTTTATTTCTAGACTGTGAGCTAAGCTTCCGAAGAAAAGGACCATGCCTCTTCCTGTTATCAGCTGAGCCCCCAGCACTATGCATAGTACCAACTACATGTTAACTGTTTAAAAGACTGTTTGTTAAATGAGTAAATGGAGACTAGGATTCAGTATCAGTAATAAATAAAACTGACCATTTTAAGAGACCCAGCCTGAGTCTCCAACAAAGCATACAATAACCAGGAACCAAGGGAGGGTGTAGCTCAGAGGTAGAGCACTTGCTAGCATGTGAGGTTTGGTCCCCAGCACCACAAATAAAATATAGTAACTCAACTTTCAAAACTGCTGGAATCAGAATGTCTAAGCTGTGCTGGGTATTTTTAGAGTGCATGTGTCAGGGGAGGGAGGGGGTGCTCAGGAAACTAAATCAATATTTAAAACAAACAGGTCCCACCGCAGCTTCTTTGGCCTTGAACTCTTTTTCCCTCTGCAGGCGGTACTGTTCGATCTCAGCCTGAGCTTCTTCTTTGGCCTGCTTCAGCCTACGGTTCTTTCCTGTTTTCAAAGGAGAGAGCTATCATCAGGAAGTGGTTAAAAGACATGCAGAAAAACCATCAGACACCAAGATGGTGAATTTTAACAATAAAGAAAAATATTTAAGACACCCTAAAAGGGAATTCAGAACTAATGGTATAAGTTTCTACCCCCTACGGGCTATAAAGAGTGATAAAAAGGAATGCCTTCCAGGGTGGGGTGTGTACCTCAGTGGTAGAGTACTTGCTTAGCATGGGTGAGGCCATTTAATCTGTAGCACCACAGAAAAAAAGGCATGGCTTTGTAGCCGAAGTCCACAAAAATGATGAAAAACACTGTGGAATGTGTCACTCCATCTCAACTATTAAGAGCCAACATAAACAGGCAAGGTGGTACACATCTATAATTCCAGCACTCAGGAGGCTGAGGCAAGAGGATCACAAGTTCAAGGCCAGCTCAACATAAGATGGGTAACAGCCATCTAGGGAACTCATCTCCCCAAGAAGTAAACACACCTAGTGTGCTGCTGCTGCTGCTGCTGCTGACTGGAGCTCTGCTTAGGAGATTAGCAAGGACTTTAATGTGCTCCCAAGGGACATAAACCTAAACCATTACTAATGACACAGATGATGCAATACTGCAAACTAAAAGCCATACTTATGACAAAGAAATAAAGTGGAGACTGGGAGGTATACTAAACAGGCAGCTCAGAGGTGAGGAGATGTGGCAAAGAACAGTTTAATACACAGCTTGGAAAGAGCTCTAGGCTCCGGCAGAGCCTGCATGAAAACAGCACAAGTCCAGCCAATGCAGACTCTGCCTTGACTCTCTGCTCACCAAGCTTCTTAGAGACTCAAGAATAGAAAGGGGAGCCTGTAGCAGGGATGGAGCACAGTGGAAGAGCACGTACAGGCCCTGGGTTCCATCTCCTACAGTGCCACAGAAGGGGGGGGGTGTCCCAGATGAACAACCTAAGTATTCATTTAATTCACGGCAAAAGACACGCTGTATGTAAAACTACACTTTGTTGTACATTATTATATATCAGCTATCCAGTCCATTCGACACATGTGGACAAATGAAACTGAATCTCAACTGGGCAAGATGGTACATGGCTGTAATCCCAGCACTTGGGAGATAGAGGCAGGAGGATTCAAAGTTCAAAGCCAGCCTGGGCAATTTTTTAAAGGGGGGTGGGGGAACTCAGTGGTAGAGCACAAAGTCCTGGATTAAATTCCTAGTACTGGGGCGAAAAAGAAAAAAAAATTGAATTGAATTTTCCACCTCAGGATTAAGAACAGGTTTTTGAACCTGCAATGACATCAACATTCCATGCGGCTAGTCTGAAACAATTAACAGGTCTCTCCCTAAACACCCCAAAGTCTACTTGTCCGAGTCTACTTACTATACTCCTATTTCGGACCTAATGCTCTTGGCTTCAGTCCACTTGCACTACAATCCCTCACATTATCCTCCCCCATTCGCTTTTTGTCAGTATTTCAAAGCCAAAGATATTTTCCAAACCAACAAGGTACAAGGTTCAGCCTAAACCCTCTGCAACAGCCTCACATAATTTCAAATCACATCCCTCCTAACTCTCACAGCTCCCTGAATACCTTAACAGCATTGCTGCCTCTCAGCATACATCTTCAAAGTTCAATTTTGATAGATTTTTCTGAAAACCATAAATTCGTAAACTGAGAATCAGACACACTGCAATGTTTTTGCGTAATGCTTGGGACTGAACCCTCAGGCTTGCATATGCTAAGCAAGCAAGCACTCTACCACTGAGCTCCATCCCCAGCCCTCACATTTCTAACCTTATTTTTCTTGGGCCTTACAAATGGGAGCCAATGTTTTGTTTCATGCCAATAAAATAAACTAATACTTTGTGACAGTACTTGGGATTGAACTCAGGGCCTCGACATGAAGCTGTACTGCCAGCCCTTTTTTATTTTATTTTTTTCTTTCATTTTGACACAGAGTCTCACAAGTCTTAAATTGTCCAGGCTGGGCTTGGGGTCAAAACTTGCAATGCTCCTGCCTCAGCCTCTCAAAGTGGTAGGATTATGGCCATGTACCACAATGCTTATCTTATTTTTCAAATGTCCAAGGCAATGGTTTCATGAAAAGTTTAGATTTGACCATTTTACCACACATGCACTGCCTCTTCTCAATTCTTACTGGACAAGTCAACCATAATTACATTTTTTTTTCAAATTATAGCTCTTTTGAATACTTCTGTTGCCAACTACTGAAAACCCTGAAACGTCCATTAGCCATAAGCTAATAAGCCCTTTAAAACAAACTCTCAGCAAATAGGTAACAGCTACCTGAAGTATTTGAGACCCTGCACCAAGCTTGACAAGGCAGATGAAGGTGTGAAACACGACCTTCAAGGAACTCAAGTTATTCTCACTTCAGTGCCAAGTACCTGTTGCTGCACTTCCCCCCAGTCTCACATCCTTCCCAACAACTTGCTATTCATGAATCATCACTGGACAAATTCTAAGAAGTCATTCTGGAATTACTGTATCAAGAGCATGATGGGAAATATTCTACAAAGAACACAGAACCTTCTAGTCACCAGAGCAGAAAGAAAAGGCTTCTTGCCATCCCCAGCACCCTCAAAGAACACTTTTGCTAGGAAATAGAGTATTACAGCCTTTCTCAGAGCCATGCTTGAAATCTACATGCTTCTTATTCAAGAAGAAACACCAAGAATTACTAGGGTTAATAATTCCTGGTATTTTACCCTGGCGTAGGAAAAAAGGCCTCTCAACCACAACTGTGCTGATTCCCACAGTCTGGTCAAATCAGCTGTCTCTGAGCTTCATTTTCCCACTTGTAAAATAGAGTTAAAACATCTTTCTCATCAGATGGAAAACTGGATACAGATATTAAAAAGCTACCTCTTTCCAGAAGCTTAACTTCCTAAGCCATATAGAGAAGCAAGTTACTGCACTGTAATGACAGAAATAAGCACTAAGGCAGGATACTTAACCTAGTCCGAGGGCAGGTTGAGTGAGGAAAGGCTTCCTGGAAGAACTACTGCCTAAATCTTGAGGTCTGAAAAACTCTGGGTTAGAGAACCAGGAGGAGTTATGTAAGAAAAGGTCCTTCCAATCCAAAGAAATGGGATGCAAGGCTTGCAGGGAAAAATAAATGAAGTTGCCTTTGAGAAATCATGATTCAGTATGGCTAGAGAGTACATAAATGAGACTAGGCAGAATGCAAAACCCAAAACCAGGTGTGGTGGCACTTGCCTGTAATCCCAGCATTCTGGTAGGCTATGGCAGGATCCCAAATTCGAGCCCACTCTGGGCAGTTTAGCAAGACTCTGTCCCAAAAAATAAAGAGAGCTGGGGATGTATCTCACTGCAAAGGCTCTGGGTTCAACATCCAGCACCACACACCAAAAAAAGGAAAACCGTGATGCAATAATGCTTCCTCCAACCTGCGGAGATCAAGTGCTATGGCACCCACCTGTAATGCCAGGGTTTAGGGAGGCTGAGAAAGGAGGATCACAAGTTTGAGTCCTGCTTCGGCAACTTAGCAAGACCCTGTCTCAAAATTTAAAAAAAAAACAAAAAAACAAACTTCTAAAAAGAAATGGAGCGCAGAGTTAAGAGGGCCCCTAGATATTCAATCTCCTACTAGCCTCGCTCCTAAAAGAATTTCAAGTTTATTCTGCTGGCACTCAACACATTGCAAAGGTGGTGGGGACATCATAGATGCATTTTATAGAGATTACTGACTACAATGAGACTAGATTGCAGGAGAGATTAAAACTGGTTTCCTTCCACTCCTCGCTCTAGATTAGACCCTGCTGTTCCACTCTTTAGCAATCTTGTATTTCTCAACTCCACCCTTTCCACTCACCTACAATTAGCCTATCCAATATCTACTTCCTTCTCTGGGACGTGGGATACCACAACGGGGATGCGCTTAGCACTGCGCCAACACTTTTACCCGCATTTAAAAATATACTCGAGAAAGGAATTAAGGCTGCTACGGGAGACTTAGAAAAGTTGTCCCGTACTATGATGCTGGGAGTCAAGACGAGAACAAAGTGAAGAGACACACAAACATTGTCGACTGACTGTTACATGACAAACGAGGAAGAACAGACTCCAGATCTCGAGTCTTAACGATTCTCTGGATGGCGGCCCTTTCACTGGGCCTGGAGCTTCTCAACGGGGCAAGTGGAAGGAGAGAAAGAAAGAGTTCTGTATGGATGGCCCACTTCACACGGCTCCCAGTTCCCAAGAAGAAACGCTCTACACCCAATTTTACTAACCCACAAAGCGGCTCCCAGGCGACCCAGAAGCCTTCCAAAGCCTCAACTGCAGAGCGCCTCCCAACATGCCAGCCACCGCCACCGTAACCCCGTACTCCCGGAACTTTTTCGGGTCTCTCCGCCTACCACCTCCAAGGCCTAACGCCTTCCTCAGCCTGAAGCCACGCCTGGCCGCCTCGAAACTCACGCTTGCGGGCCTCGGACACCTTCTCCGCGGCCCGCTTCTCGGCCTGCAGCAGCTGCTGGATTCCCTGCGACTGGCTGGCCATGGCTGCTGCAGCTCACAGAACCAAGTGACCGTCCTAAAACCTGAAGACCGCACCTCGGATCAGCTGACCCGCCACCCACGATCTGCGCGCCTGCGCAGGGCGCAGGCGCCCCGCCCTCGGTCACATGACCAGAGCACCGTCGAGTCAGCTGACTGTTTAGGCGCCCCCCGCGCCACTCCGGCGGGAGGGAGCAGGGCGGAGAGTGAAAGAGCAAAGCGCGCCCTTTACGCCTGCGCAGGTCCTGCCCACCGCTTTCGCTGGTTGTCTCCTAGCTAGTTCCAGCCATGTAGGTTTTCTTCCATTTCGTTATTCCGTTAATCCTTCATTTCACAGTATGCCTACATCAGTGTCCAGAGAGAAGGAGCCAAACTAGACCACTTTCCCCCACTGTCATTCTAAACCCTTCCTGGAGCTTTCCCTGGCACTCATCTGTTGAGCAGTTTATGAAAATTCTTGCCTGTTCTAGGGATGGAGTTCTAGGTTATAAGTAGGACGCTGAGGTCCGCGCGGAGGCACAGACTTGTAATCTAAGCATTTAGGGAGGCTGAGGCAGAAGGGCCACAAATTCTAGTCCTGCCTGAGCAATTTAGCAAGACGCAGTAAATGAAAAGAGCGGGGGATGTCGTTCAGAGATAGAACGCCCCGGTTTGATGACAGCACGGGCAGTGAGATGGGAAAGGGGAGTAGTGATTCAGGGCTGGGGTGTGGCTCAGTGGTAGACCGTTTGCCTACCATATGTGGGACCCTGGATTCAATGCTTAGTACCACCAAAAAAGAAAAAGGAGATATAGGATTAACTATGCTGCTAATCTGTGGTTTTTGGATAGATCATTCTCCCTTTCTGAACAGAGTTCAGGAAAGGGTTGCACTGTTTTCCATCAATGTTTGATGAATGCTTGCCGTGATCCTAGACAACCTTTGGTATCGAGGCTAAAGCAGAAAGCAAGACAGACGAGATTCTTGGTCAAAAGACTGATTAATTAGAACAAATAAACAATTACAAACTGCTGTAAAATAACGGAGGAAGCATGTAGGATGCTTTTAAGAAACCCCTTAATGAGGGGTGGAGGAATACAGAAGGAAGTGGCCTTTAAAATGCCATCTGAGAACAGAGGATGTGGCTCATGTTAGGGCAGGGATCCCCAGCAGCACTGGGGGAAGGAGGTGAGACCTGAAGAAAGAGTTACCCAGGAAAAGAGTTAGGGAAGGGGAACAGCATGTGTGGAACTGGGGGGTGGGGAGGTTTAACTTGGCACAAAGATGCCCCCTCACACCAGTAGGGTCAATGTGATTGTGTCTGCAGTGTGACAGTCCACTGTCCTAAACACGACTGCTCCTCACAGCAGCTTTAGAATAACTGTGAAGGTATACTTTTTTGGGGGGGGTACCGGGGATCAAACTCGGGACATTGCGTTTCTGAGGCAGGTAGCAGAACCACTGAGGTAAATCCCCAGCCCATAATTTACTTCTTTTTAAAGTACTGAGGATTGAACTCAGGGTCTTTGCAACAAGCTACACTCCTGGCTCTTTTTTATTTTGACACAGGGTCTTACTAAATCACTAAATTTCGTAAACTAGGCTCAAATTTGGGATCCTCCTGCCTCAGTCTCCCAGAGTACTGGGACTACAGTTGTGCGCCACCACACCTGGATAATAATCCATTTTATAATAACCAGCTGGCAGCTCAGTAGGTTAAGTGACTTGCCCAAAGTGACACTTATTAACTGCCAGATGGGGTATTTGGATCTAGTCAGGGCTGCAGGCTGGAACCTCTAACCAACTGTACTCCTTGGCAGGATTCTTGGCTATGGGAAGTCCCAGAAAACCTCTTAGTGTTCATCGAGGACTGAGAATATAACGCTATTGTAGTCAGGGTCTGCAAAGGAAGAGATTTAATACAGGACATATAAGTTATAGGATTATTTTATAATGTTCACCCAAAAAGTCAAACGCAGAGGAGTGGAAGAGATCTGTCCACACACCAGAGACCTGAAGGATCCAGCTGAGGGCCTGGATCTTACAACAGTGTTCCGCACAAGTCCAGCTGAAGGCCTTGAGTCCAAGGCAATGTCCTCTATGAGTCCAGCCAGAGTCCTGGAGCCCACAGCAATGTCTCATCCAAGTCCGTATCAATGATCTCCACTGGGAAGGCCCAAAAACCAGTGGTGGAAGCTAGAAAGCCTGCACCAATTTGTGCCACCAAGCTGAGGGATCTACACTGGATCCAGGAAGCAATGCTGAAGGCGAAGATCAGAGCTCCCCTGACAACAGCAGCCCTTCCCAGGAACAGTGAGTCCCAGAGCTCCTCAGGCAAGGAGAACAGCCAAGTTCGCATCAGGAAAACTGTCTGTGGCAAACATCTCCTAGAAAATCAACAGCCAGCAATTTTCCTCTCCAGTTCTCCTTTTATGCTGTTGGCAACAATCCTCAGGTGGGTCTTCCATGCCCAGAACCACGCTGATTCAGTTGAGCTGTGTGTTCCAAGGTGACCATTAGTTAATCTACCACAAATGTCAAGAGTTTTCTTGGTAGATATATCTCTGTCCTCAAGAAAACGATGGATTGGTGGTTCAGGGTATTCTCATTTGATTGAGGCTGGGGTGGACTTGGAAAAAAAGCAAAAATGCAGAACTCCTGTTCTTTCCGCAACACTGAAAACCAACACTGACTGGTCACTAGCTCTTTGTTATTGTTAATTGGGTTGTTACTTTGTTTGTTTTTGGGGTTTTTTTGGAAATTGACATCTCTCCATATTGTCTTGAACAGGCTGGTCTTGAACGTACGAGGTCAAGTGATCCTTTCTCCTCAGCTTCTCAAGTAGCTAAGGCTATAGGCATGAACCACTGTCCCCTATATCTGTGGGATTTTTTCATTGGTCAGTGATTTCTTGGGAAGATTTGTTCACTTATTGGATCAACGAGAACAATACACACATCTAGGGTTAGGATGAAGAGTAAAAGATGATGGAAGCCATAAACAGGGTGTGATGGCACATACCTGTAATTCCAGCACTCGGGAGGCTGAGGCAGGACGATTACTGTGAGTTTGAGGCCTGCCTGGGCCCCATAGTGAGTTCAAGGCCATCCTTAACTACATAGCAAGACCTTGTTTCAACCCCCCCCAAAAAAAAAACCAAAGAAAAAAGAAGAAGAAGAAAGAAAAGTCCATCTATGATGAGTAGACAAAATATGGCATATTCATGCAACAGAAAAATACTGAGTCATTAGATAGAAAAAAGTGCTGGGCCTAGTAGCTCATACTTCTTCTTCTTCTTCTTCTTTTTTTTTTTTTTTTGGTACTGGGGATCAAACTCGGGACCTTGCGCTTGCAAAGCAGGCTCTGGAACCACTGAGCTAAATTCCCGGCCCCATTAGCTTATACTTCTGATACCAGTTCCTTGAGAGGTTCAGATAGGAGGATTGCAAGTTCAAGCCCAGCCTGGGCAATCTAGTGAGACCTCGTCTCAAAATTTTAAAAACTGTTTGAAAGGGCTAGAGCTGTAGCTCAGTGGTAGTGCACCTCTGTGTTTAATGCCCAGTACTGGGTAAGGTGGAGGAAAGGATAAAGTACTTACACATTGATGAGCCTTTATAATGTTGTACTAAGTAAACAAAGCCAGGCATGAAAGGCCACACACTGTACAGTTCCATGTATATGAAACGCCCAAGCTGGGCACGGTGGTGTGTGTCAGCCACTCCAGAGGTTAAGGGAGGAGAAACACTTAAGCTCACAAGTTGGTGGTCAGTCAGGGAAACATAGCAAGACCCTGTCTCAAAAAGTAAATAAATAAAACACATATATAGGTATAGGAAATATCCAGGATAGGAACATTAATGGAGACAGAAAATAGATTTCTGTTTAACCAAGGCTCAGGGAGGCAGAGAATGGGGAATGACAGCTCACTGGGAGGAATTTCTTTTTAGGGTGATAGGAATGTGCCAGAACTAAATAGCGGTGATGGTGAGATCTCCTTGTGAGCATACAGAAAACACTCACTTGTACATTTTTAAAGGATGGCCAGGGATTTAGCTAAGTGGTTTTGCTGCCTGCTGCGCAAGCGCAAGGACCCGAGTTCTATTCCCAGTACCAAAAAAAACCAAAACAAAACAAAAAACCAAATATACTAACATATTTGGAGTATCTCTAAAATTTGAGGGAGGCTAAAGAACTGAAAATACTAAGTAACTACATTTTTAAAGGATGAGCAGTATGATATGCAAATTATATTTCAATAAATTTTTTATTTAAAAGAGAGAGAGATGATGAAATTGGCTGTGAAACCTTCGCACAGTTTCTAGTCTGTAATAGGCACCAGCACGTGGAAGCTGTTGTTTTTATCTGGCTGAGGAAGAATTATTTGATTTACAAATCCGGCCCTACATTTAACAAAAGCTTTCACATTAGGGTTCCTGTAACAGCCTAGTTCCTCAGAACATCTAAATATCTACAAATTCCAGAATTCTTTTCCTGGAAGCATTCCAAATTTTGTGCAGAGAGAGAAAAACTAGACAATCCCTCCTCTGGAATGTCAGACCGGTTTGGATTTCCTGAGGATCAGAGTGGGTATTTGCTATCAGAACTCAGGTACCCTGAAGAGGTGTTCCACAATAACTAGGAAATGAGGGGGAAGCAGTTGCCCTCCCAGGGATGCCATGGCGTCTTGAGCCAGCAGGCTAGATTCACGATGGCCTCTGTTTATGTCTTAGTCACTTTCTCCTCCCTGGGACACAATGCACAGCATCAGACACCTGCAATACAAAGCAAGAGAGGTTCATTTTGGCTCACGATTAGTCCGAGATCATCCAGCTCCAGGGCAGGGTGGCATGGCAGAGGGGCACAGCGGAGCAAAGCTCCTCTCTTCATGGTGGCCAGGAAGCAGAGAAAAGGGAGGAGCCAGGAAGAATATACCCTTCAGTCACACCCCCAGTGTGGTGTATAAGGTGAACAAAGATACCCTGTGATGCTCTGATGAGTCTGCCTTTCCCTTGGATGGTACAGAGCAGCAGCATTCACCGTGATTTTGGTCATACCTCATTTATTGTAAAAACACTCATAAAAGAGGACTTCCAGAACTGCCTCTTCCCACCAGACCCCACCTCCTACAGCAAGTCAGCTATAGTCTCCT